CAAAGAGTTGGAAAAACTTTTCCGTCTTTTTTAAATAAATCCCCCCCCCCCCCCCCAGAGAAAAAGTCCATCAGCATTAATTTAAGAGCAAGTTTTATCTTCAGGATGTGGAGAACATTGTGCTAATTACTCAGGAGGTGGGGGGAGATGCATTAGCAGTTCTTGGAATCCATTTTTGATGTGGAACAAACAAGCCTTCTATTTAAATCTTTTTTTATCCTTTTGTCTCACCCTAAAGTGGAAAAGACGGTGACTAGTCATAATCAGGAGCTAATGCATCGAAGGCCTTCCTGTAAACTGGGACTTAAAAAGTGAGCCGAGTTTTAATCTGGCGCTCTTTTTTTAAATGTTTTTGACACCCACTGAAAATCTTAAAACTATTTTATTGAGTGACATCTTTAATAGCTTTTTGGTTTTCATATAAATACAGCAGCACTGTTTAATTTACTTTTTTGCAAAAGAAGAAAAACTGCAATACAACAAACTCTTTAAATGAAGAAAAAAAAAAGAAAATTCACACTGCTCAAGTTAAGCCTCGTGTTGCTCTGCAGCTTAATTTCTTAATATATAACTAAAGAGAACGCAGCCCAGTTGTTTTGGGGTGGCAAATTAGGAAACCAGCGGGATTTTCTCAACTTCACAAGTGCAAATAAGTTGTTAATTACTGCAGCTGTCACTGCTTTTTGTTATATGTGGTAGTCATATTGGATTTATGAGGTTGGAGTTGGCAAGGAAGCTCCGACTTGAACGATGCCATCATCCGCTGTGGGCATAAGTGGATGGAAGTGGTCAGCAAGAAAACTCCAGATGGCTGCGGTGTTTAAAGAACACAGAGCAGCCTGACGTTAGCTTGGAGTCATTCTTGTTTACATCAAATTCTGACGCTACCATCTGAATCTGAGTCTCGTCACGTCAGGCAACGTTTTTCCAACCTGTACATTTAGTTTGACTGTGTTTTCTATTTTCCTCTGATACTGAGAACGCTTTCTCCGCTCACCTGCCACTCAGCAGATATTTCTCTTTTTCATACCACTCTCTAAAGTCAAGCAATGGTTATTAATTAAAATCCCAGATCAACAGTTTGTGAAATACCCAGACTAGTTCTGGGTATTGTAAAAATCCCTAGATTCCCTTTTCTTGCTGATTAATACTTGGTTTGATAACCCATATGATTGGCTGATTCACTGTTTTGCTTTCTTAAATGCAATTGACCAGGTTTTTCTGGTGAAGTGACGCGTCTCATTTCCCTAAAATGAGCAGCAGATCAACTTCTGGTGTCGTCTTGCACGTTATGCCTTGTCTGACTTGATTTTGCGCAGCTCACAGATATTACAGATGGCTAACTTGCTATTGGTAAAAACGTAATTCATGTTTTTACAATCGCTACTTTCCTCTGGCGTGCTAAAGTTGAAACAAATGTTGGATTTTTGAATGATTATATTATAGAGTTTAATAGATTTGATTCCTCTACCTAAGTTAAAGCCCCGTGATCATAAAAAACTATTATGTCTTCCTTTTTTGTTTTTATTGGACTGTTCACCCACCCATCCATCATTTGAAGTGGAGTTAAACACAGAAAGCTTCACTTCAGTGTGTTTTCCTTTCGGTCTCTCTCCTCACAGCTTCTCATCAGTCAGCCTCACTGGAAAACTCGCTGGAATTATGTCAGCTGCAGACATTTTTCTGAAGGATGGGAGGGGTGCGCTTCACGAATTTGCAAAGGAACATAATACCATTGGCAAGTGCACTTCCTAAGTTTAGCCAGTGCTGCTTCGTTGCCATTTTTCTTTCATTTAATACGCAGCTGCCTGGTATTTCCACAGTGGCCCCGAGACTACCTCGGCGGTAGACATTGGAGTGGAGGATTGCATTCCTACAAAGGGCTAAGACCTTCTTGCTCTGGCTAATGTAACGAACATCGAAAATGTGAGCAAGTAACTTCCACAGAATGAAACGTGTCACTTCACAAAACCGGGAATTTCTAAAGAGACGCAGTTGAGATAAAGTACAGAAAACAAAACTGCTTCCTTAAAGCCCAAGGTTGGATAAATGATTTCTGTATGTGGAGTTGTTGAGGTTGAGACCTTTCACCCACATAGCTTTGGGATCCTCCTCCAGTCATACAACGCCACAACTCCGTTTTGTAACCTTGAGGAAGGGTACAGCATTAGACAAGCAGCAGTTATAATTCCCGGCAGCTGTAATAGATTGCGGTGGTGAAAAGCACAAAACGGATAAGGATGTACATTAGAGTTGGGAAAGGCTGATGTGTTTTCTTTTAGGGGAGCGGGGGGGGGTGGATGTTTCCGAACGACTCAAGGACGTCATGCTCTCTCTGGGCTTCTGCTTGTTACTTTGTGTTATTATTAGACACGGCTAAAGCATTTGGAAATGGTGGGAGTTTTTGGACTTTTCAGAACCGTCTTTTGTATGATTTATTTCCTTCACTATAGACACACCCAACTGATGGCAGGAATGCTTTTCCTCAATTTTCAACATTTCTTTTTATGGAATTTCAACCCGACATTTACCGGAATTGTGACTTTTTTTTTTTTTTTACCCTCGTCTCTTTTTTTTATTGATTCATTTCAAAAGCTAAAGCCTTGCAAGAAGGAATACAAGTAAACAGTCAGAGACTAAACTAAATATTTCTTGTTCCTCCAGCTTAGTAAGGGGTGTTATGTCTGAAAGCTTGTAGAAATTAGAATAAAAAAAATACTTCATTCTTGAAATTTTCCTCTTAAAAAAATGGATAAAATCTGCTTTGATTTTCATGCCCAATCCGTCTCTAATATAATTTTTAATCGGTAGGTTTCCTGGTATTGAGGGCAGCCCATAAACTCTCAGTAGGGATTAGGCCTGTGTTAATCCAGAGCCCTAATTTGGGATTGTCAATTTTTGGAACACCAAGTTGTTTGACGATCGTTAATTGTTTAAGTGACATTCAAGTATTTGGAAGAATGTATCCGCTTTCATCATTCTATCCACTTCGTTTAATGCAGCAAAACGGAGCTGTGCCTTATTTCAGAAGCGACCATTGCCCTAAATATGTCGCCTAATCCACTGTTCTGTTGCTCTGATTATATTCCAGCGTCCCTGCCCTCCATCATTTTGACGGTTAGGTTCAAGCCTTATCAACGGGGGATTCATTGTGACGACGAGAGCATCAAGTACCCGCTCAAACCAGACACCATCTCCCACAGCATGATGGGAGTCATGACCATCACCTGCACTGTCATTATTGTAAGCTTTTCCTCAGAATTATACAAAATAAACAGCCATTTAAAAACAAAAAAACATCTGGTGTGACGCTTATGGTGCGCTAAGGAAATGATGTGAATATAAAAAAGATTTAAAAAAAAACTGTTCTAATTGAACGACAAATGTGTTTTTATTTATTTATTTTTTTTACTTTTCCCACAGATCTCCTCTGGAGAAGCTTATCTAGTCCACAAAAAGATAGTTTACTCAAATTCAAAGTTTAATCAGTATGTAGCAGCACTCTACAAGGTGGTGGGAACCTTTGTGTTTGGAGCAACTGTCAGCCAGTCGCTCACGGACATCGCCAAGTTCACAATCGGCCGTCCGAGGCCTAACTTTATGGCCGTGTGCGCGCCGAAGAACTGCACGGGATACGTGCTGGAAATCAACTGCACAGGCCAGTTGCACGAAGTCACAGAGTCGAGGTAGGACAACAACTATGACTGTAATTTTTATTATAACTTGGAGGAGGCAATGGACAATAAAGATCAAACATGGGACTGTATAAATGGCTGATTGAGCGGGTTTTAGAAGAGCTTTAAACACTAAAGCTCTTCACTTCCCAATTCCCGTCTCATCTTCCAGATATGACGGGCATATTTACCTCATGCATTTGTAGAGTTATTCAGGTTTCAATATCACCCCAATTTTTTAAAGCCTAATAACATATTGAGGTTCTGCCTGTTTGTAACTGAATTCACAGTGCCTATGTATGGTAATAAATGTGCAGGAAAATGGAAGAACAATCCGAAAGATATTAACAATAAACTCTCTAGAGGATTAATTACATTTTTTTCTTTTTTTCCTAGATTATCTTTTTATTCTGGACACTCCTCCTTTGGAATGTACTGCATGCTCTTCCTGGCGGTAAGTGGAACCTTGAGTTTTTTTTGTTTTTTTTTTTAAACAGTGCAGACATATCTCTGTTTTCAGCGCCGGACTGCAAACACCTGCTTTTGGATCCGGCATTCCAGTCCCCAGATGCTTGTGTTTGCAGATGTGTTATCAATGGGCAATTGTTGAACAGTAGAAAAGTCCCATGGAGCCAGATTAAACCAGTATAGACGTAAAAAAAAAAAAAAAAAGGAAGGGGTTCATGAGGAGAAATGAGCAGAGTGGAACTGATCATACGTCTGCAGAATTTTATTTCATAAGAAGTTTGTGTTCCATTTTGTGACCTTTCCAGTTCTTTAGTTTGTATTGCAGTCTCTTACCTCTGTGGGAGAACATGTTGCCCGTTTACTTGCAGCTGTGAATAATCCACCCTGTTATCCAGTGGACAAACCAAAGCAAGATAACTGGTGTGGTTATTTCCTGAAGGTCAGCTCTAAGCTCGGCTAATGGCGCTGCCGCTCAGCCTCCACGTCCAACCGCATCGCGTTCTGTGCGTTCTCACTCACTCCACCTCAAAAGCAAGCTGTCCACCATTTTCCGTATTTCATTGCCTTAATATTCCCCATCCCTGGCATCCTTCATCTTAGCATTAGAAACTGTTTTGTTTTTTGTTTTTTTTTTAGAAAGTGAGGCTGCTGCAAACAGGTGTGCAGCCATTTTCTTTTTAAACAATATTTTATTTTATGCCGTACGCCTTTTAAATCCATCAAAATCTACGATGGGACAGAAGGTCTCAAGCCGGATGTTTGCCAAAGGACAAAGTGATTGGGGTTGTGCTGTTTGCAACCGAGCGAAACCTGACGAACTTCCAGACAGAAAGAACAGATCTGAGCAAGTCACTTCATATGTGTCTCCTGTGGGCTGTGCTTTAAAAAGTGTCCTACAGTGTAAAGTATGGCCTTGTGGCAGGAGGACGCGAATGTGATGCCAGTTATTACACCTTCAACAGCAGCTGAGAAGAAACTTTATGCAGCTGCCAGATTTGTATATTTGTTGGCTTCCACCGTTTCCTTCAGAAAGGCTGCGGCACTTACTGGTTTATTCATCCACATTGGATATAAATTATATTTGTGTTCGACACGTGTTCTCGTGTTAGTCTGTTTTACTTTTGAAGTAGGCACACAGACATTTTTCACATAATTGACTTTTTTGTGCCCACGTGACATCCACTTAAAAACTACGGTAGGTGATTTATTGACGGGTGGCTAATTTCAATCTCCAGTTCCATTGGCAGACCGGTGTCAAAATGCATAAAAAATGAAGACGAGAAACAAAAACAACTCACAAAGAAATGTTATACATTTTTATGAGATGGCATTGAGGTGCATCAATGCTCTGCAGACCTTGATGACATCCTGTCAAATTTGAACCATTTGTTCAGCTGTGCTGAAGCAGGATCCGATCTAAGGCCTGCATGATGTCGGGAGCTGGCCACTCTCTCTGGTCAGAGAGTAAATTGGTGAAATCTGAGCAAATCAAAATAAATATGAGAGCTTTTTTTTTTTTTTTTTTTTTTTTATAATAATGTCTTTCTTGTTGTCTGGATTTGCTAACTGGTCTTTCTCTCCGTTTATTCTTCCATCACAGCTTTACGTGCAGGCCAGACTTGCAGCGAAGTGGGCCAGACTTCTGCGGCCCACCATCCAGTTCTTCCTGGTGGCCTTCGCGGTGTACGTGGGTTACACCCGAGTCTCTGATTACAAGCACCACTGGAGCGACGTGGTGGTGGGGCTGCTGCAGGGAGCTCTCGTTGCCGTGCTCAACGTGAGTCTCCAAGACGACGACGTCTTGTTAAGGCAAACACAAGTAACACGCCAGACTTCCCAAAATGGCAGCTAATAACTCAGCTGCACCCGGCTCGGGGGCGTCTTTGATCTTGTCTGGGTTGCTTGAAACGTGCTCGCGTTTTGACATTTTGTCCCGTTTGATGTAACTTCAACATCACCTAATGACATCCTAACGTTAAATCTCACCACAGCGGGGAATATATGATTGGAAAACCAAACAGGGTGATACGTTTAATATGGAACTCTTACTGTTAATAATACCCATTCCAGTGCTGAAAATCACAGATGAAGCGTTTTTTTTTTTTTTTTAGCTTCATTAAATGTCGACAGTAACTTGGAAGTTGAAGGAGTGTAAAACATCAATGGCGTGTCACGATTCCCTGCCAGTATGTTCATTGTGTTCGCTTCAACCAGCCAGGCTGGTTAAAGTTGTGCAGAGGCACAGTTAATGCACGTTTGATTAATTGTAGCCTTAATGCATGTCTCTGGCCTCCACTTCCCTGCTTGCAAAAAGAAACCCTGTGAGGCAATATTTTATACCTTCAGAAGTTGGCCGTGCGCTCTGCGAGTTCCTCTCATACACGAGTCCATAGAAGTGTTGGCGTGTCACTTAGCGGCGCTGCACAGACCCTTCCAAACAGATGTAATCACAATTTCCAGCCTTGCCTTTTTTTTTATTTTTTATTTTTTCATCCTCTCTGAGAAAAATGCCTCCTAAGTGATCTCCTTCCTCTCGCCTCACGCTGCAGGTTTGCTTTGTGTCCGACTTCTTCAAGAAGCGCCATGCGCATGGCTCGAGCCCAGACGCGGGGAGCTGCGAGGAGCCGGAGAGGAAACCGAGCCTGCAGATTGCAGACGCTGAGCACGGCAACCACTGCGGCTACCGCAACGATCCCGGCCCCTTGTGATGAGAGGCGTCGGCTCCCTTGGCTTGCAGCCTGCAGACACCCAAACCTGTGCAATAGGTTCCCGACGCAGGAGCCGCAGCTCCGTTTGTGCGGTCTGCTGCTTTTAGTTCAAGTCTCGATTCCAATTCTGGAAATGTTACAATTTCTTTGTTTTGTTTTTGTTTTTTTTGACTTCATGAGCTCATCAGCTCTTCTTCTCCTTTTTTCAACCACTCATTCTGCATCTGCTCCACTGGAATGATTAAGAGGGGACGCCGCCCCTGTCAAGGAAAACACAATAACCTCTGCTTCCCTTGTAAAGGAGAAGAGAGCACATTGCCTTCCAAGCATCTTTCTTGAAGTTGCATTTAGAGGACTCTAAACTCACTGTAGCAAAGCTGTAGTTCAGTGTAACCACGTAGAATAATTGTTGCTCATATTGTCGCAAACAAATTACACCCGGGAGGTACAGTGTGTGCCTTCTTGCAACCTTGTGAAAGAAAAAAAAAAAACTGATGTCCTCCTCCTTATCGCCTGCTTCTGAGAAAGCTGCATTTGTTAATTCATATCCAGTAAGCTAACTATTCTGTAAGACGAGCTTTATTTCACAGGTCGGTATTGGAATATGTGGCTGAAATTCAGTTTTAACAACCTGAAAGAAACAGATATCTCTGCAAGTAGTTTTTCAAAGTGATTTAAAAAAAAACAGTAAAATAGTGTTAGAAAATTTAGCTTGCTGAAGCTTGCATTTGTTCCGGTGTTTTTCAGTTTTGTGTGTGAAAATTTGACCGGTTCGCAGTGAGGGAGAATTACAACTCAACTATGAATGTCTGTAAAAAAATATATATGGTTTGGTTTACGTATTAGCAAACATTTTTAGTGCACCTTAAATGTTCACGAGATGAGACAATGTAGCACAAGTTAATGCAGATGGAACTGTGTATCTGCACACCGCTGTGCCCTCAGATTGCTATTCATCTGTCTTAACTTTCACTAAACAATATGAGCAACAACTCGATACTATCCAGGACTAGACTTTACTAAGAATAAAGGATTACCTTCAGTGACGCGAAACTGAACCTTTAAGAACGGATGATGCTTTAAAGCACACGGGTGCATCTCAATGACTTTGAAATTCTTAGATCAGGTAATTTAATAAAGTAATTCAGATCATAGAGCTAAACTCGTATGGATTCATCACATACAGTGATGCGTTTCAAACTTTTTATTTTTTATTTTTTTTCAACCGATTTTTATGATTACGGCTAACAGACGTCGGTCCATGTGTTCCCACATTCTACAGTATATGCATAATTTGGTCGTTGTTCATTTTAAAGAAATAGCTGCATCATTGAAATGTGGCATGGGGCTTCTAGGGTGTCAGGAAACCCAGGCTGCTTTAATGGCTTTCAGCCCGTTTGCATTGTTGAGCCATGTGTCTCGGTCATCCGCCCGAAAATCCTTCATATATTCTCTATAGGATTTTGATCAGGCAAGAACTTGCAGGCCAATCCAGCTCAGTAATACCACAGTAATTAAAGAAGCCATCAGTACTTCGGACAGTGTGAGTAGGTGCCAGGTCCTGCAGGAGGTTCAAATCTGCATCTGCATAGCTCAGACAAAAGCATGAAATGCTCTAAAATGTTATGTTGGGATGGATTTTAGACCACTTGGCAATAGTCTCAATATTTTTTTCTCTTTATCCTGGCTGAGATCATTCTGATATCTGGTTCAAGAGCATTTTAGCACTAGGAATGTAACATCGTAGTCCATCTATCTGTGGTGGCTCTTGAAACACTGACTCCAACCACAGTCAGCCCATGCCTTGTGACTCCCCCCCTCCCCACCCCCCCACAAGGGTCTCGCAAAACCTTTTCTTCCTCTACAAGTTGCAGTCATGTTGCTTATGCACCCATTTTTTTTTAAACTGCACTTTTTCCTTCCTCTCAGCCTTGTATACTGCAGTTTGAACGGCCAGCATCTTCAGCGATCACGCTTTGTGATTCACCCTGGTCTGCTTGACAATTCACAGGATTGTCCTGGTCACAACATGACTAGAAAATAACCATCTCACATTTAAGATTTTCTTAATGGCCTCAAGTAATGTTAATATTTTCTAAGACTGACTTTTTTTTTTTTTAAGCTAAAAGCCGTAATCATCAAAACTAAGAAAAACGCAGGTTTTAAATGTAGCATTTTTGTGTCGCATATCTAAAACAAGGTTTACTTTTTCATGTAAATGTTGAGCTAAATTGCCATTTAATAAAATTATAAATCATTGAGATGCATCTATGGACGTGCTTTATGCTCTTTAAAATAGATATGCTGTATTAAAACTGATTCTTTTAATTTGTAAAGCTTGGGAGTCATTTCTCCTCGTGTTATATTTCCCCATGTGGGACAAATTGGACTGCAGCAGTAAAGTTATTGTTGCTGACAGCTTCCAGTTCAGTGCGACTTGATGCACCACACTGCTACCACTATATTGCTAAAGACATTGGTTGAAAATTTGACCACCAACTTTTCTTTACTTGTTTAATTTTATTGTTTGATTTTACAAATAGTCAAAGAAGGACAAGACGGCCGTTTGAAAAAGCCGTTTTATTTATGCGTAAAATAAACTTTCTATACACTTTGTACAAGGCTGGAAATGCCAGCTTTATTGAAGTTTTTCTGTGCAATCACATCTGCTTGCCACTATGAGCCACAAATACTGTATCTACTAATGCTATGAGACCTTATAAAGGATGATTGTGAGTATATATATATATATATATATATATATATATATATGTTTTTGCTTGTGTACTTTTATGTCTGTATAATTCTCATTCCATAGTTGTGTTTCAGCCACTCAGGCTTGTCCATTTGGTTCAGTACCGGGTCTAGGACAGTTGCCATGGTTGGTCTTCAGAGCGATTGTTGTTGCCGTGATAATGAGTGACAAGCATCACAGATATAAACAATATTTAAACAAACTAAGAGTTTTAACTGATTAAAGTGTCCTGTTTTATCTTTAAGCTTTTCATACATTTTAATGTGTGTGAACTTGTTTGTATTTTTGCTTAGGTGTAGCCTGTAGATTATGTCTGCGGTCTTCAACCTGGAGAGTTTTCAATAAAGCTATACTCCACCCTAAAATGTGTGCTTCACTCATTTGTATCACTAACTTATCCTTTGCATGGAATTTCACAAGTAGGAGTTTGGATAAATAGTTTTTGCTCCATCAGGAGATAAACGTCTTTTGGGATGCATGCTGTGTCCCAGAATGCAGTTGTGCAACTCAAGAGATCGGTTTTGTGCAAGGCACTGAGTCAACTTACTTCAGTTTTAGTTTTGCAACAATCCATTACTGGTTTCACTCATTTATCTAAATTTAACGAATCCCACAGGATGGTGTTTGCAAAACAGATTTTTCTTTTCTCCAAAATGTATCATTCTGAGGAAGGAGAAGAGCAGAAAAAATGCAGTCTTTTTTGTTTATCCACCAAGTACTAAATAGTTGTTTAGACTTCAACAAATGAAAATAAGAAATATTTTCAGTTTTTTTTTGTATTTAAAGCTTTAATTCAATTCAGTTTATTAATGTAGCACCAATTCCTATAAAATGTTGTCTCGAGGCACTTTACAATCAAGTCATTTCCACCAGTTTGAATATCAATTCAAACTGGTTCTAGCTGTCAAACACTTCGCCAATCTCTGTTCATTTGTTCAAATGAGCTTAAAGTTCATCTGTCGAAGAAAACCCAGCAGATTGCACCCAGCCATTGTCTTGCAGCATTCACTCCTCCTGGATAAGGAGCAATAATCACTTGGGTTGTGTTGTTAACTTTACAGCAACTCCTCAAACCGAGCTTGCATGTAGCAACAGCGGAAAGGAAAAAAATTCCCCTTTAACAGGAAGAAACCTCCAGCCAAACCGGAGACTCGGTACGAGTGGCCATCCGTCACGACTGACTCGGGGTTTGAGAAAGGAAACAGAAGAGCTGATGTAGGAGTAGACTGCGTGACAGATTTGTCTTTGGAAGTGGAATCTCACACAGATTTAAACCAGCCTAGTTCCTTTATATCTACATGTTCAAGCCTTCCGAAGAAAATATGCTCACACACTTGATTAATAACTATTTTCTCAAGTATCTTAGATAAGAAAGGAAGGCAATAAAAAGATAAATGTTTAAAGATTATCTACAGTAAAATAGTATTCCTGAATTGTTTTTGGTAATCCTCAGAAAACATTTTTTGAAGACAGATGACAAAAAAAAAAAAAAGATACACAATTTTTATATATTCTTACATGTAGAAACACGAAAAATATTTTAAAAAGTGGATTTTTATCTGGCTTTCTTTAGATACCTTGTAATACAATCCAGGGCAACAACTCGCTTTTTGAAGTACTTTATTAATTGGAATTCACCTCTGTAGATTTTCTGAGTATAAATTCAGCTGTCCTATAAGTAATCTATAAAGAGCTATTATAGAACACCGGGGATTAAACAGAAATTGAAAGAACATTGCGGACAGGTTTTAATTATAAAACAATATTCCAAGCTTTGAAAATGTCCATGGAGTAATGTTTACTGTATTATCTGGAGTTAGAAAGTACAGAACAACCCCTGACATTGCAATAAATGGGCATGTCTGCCAAAACAGAAGAATGGCAAGAAAAAAGTTGTGGTGAAAGCACAAACAGCAAGACTTCATACATTAAAATTTGTGGTTGTAATATGACAAGAGTGAGAAAGCTAGAAAAATAAATATTTTTATATGTCAGTGAGACTTTGTTATTTTAACAAAATATCACAAATGATAAAAGATAGAATTAAATCCCTCTTATTTGCTCTTGCCTTGGCTTTTATTTTGGTTCATTTTTTCGTGACAACTTGCAGGAAATTATGGCTTTTTATGTGCAGATATTTTTTCACCCTGGAGTTAAAAATAACTGTGTTGACAGTTACACAACACCAGAATCAGATTCCAGTGACATGTGGTTTAACTTCTCTGGCTTTAGGATCCAACATAACTTTCTTGCACATAAAAAGTTTTCTTTTTATTCTTCTTCTTTGTGCTTGAAGAATAATTAAAACCAAGTGCCTAACTTTAAGGGATGACTTCTCAAGGTTTTCCTGGTTGCCTTTGTGAGACTGGAGCATTGAATGAACCAGAAAAACAAACGTGTTTGGAGTGAAATAAGCACAGGACCCACAGGGAGGTTTGTGGGAATATCGTTGGCGGCAGTGCTGAAAGCCAATGTCGTCCCTCATTTAAAACGATATCACTCGCTGGCATTCCATGAAGACAAAGTGTGCACGGGGTTATTTTTCAGCATAATGTCAAAACAACAAAATACAAAGATATTTTGCTGTTTATAGCGTTTCTGCTGATTGGTGGTTCAAAGTATACAACTACAAAGAAAGGAAATAGCATATTGTGAAATTATTTTTTGTCACTCATTTCAGAACGCAAAACTCATGTATTGTAATGTGATACAATACATAAACTCATGTATTGTAATGTGATACAATACATAAACTCATGTATTGTAATGTATTCGCTCCATTTCAGACAGTGAAATATTTCAGACCCCCATTTCTTGTAATATTGGTGATTATAGCTTACCTTCTCAGAAAATTTGAATATTGACAAAAAGTTAAATGAGGACCTTTGCACTGATCATTTGTGATTGAATGTGGGTGTGTAGAGGACAGAAATCCAGTCAATCTACCAACACACTTGAGAGTATTTCATCCTTCCTGAAACGCTTCTGTTGGCATGGAGACGCTTATTTCATTCTCTAGCGTGACTTGGTTTTGGGTTTTCAGTATCTGTAAGCCAAAATCATCAAAATTACAATGAAAACAATATTGCATTCTTCCTTTATATACGTAAAGAATCAATACACGAGTTTCACTTTAGCAAATGAGCTCAAAAATACTTTTTCACAATATTGTCATATTTTGAGACGTATCTGGATGAGTCCAAATCTGTGGCAATAATCATGCTAGAGATGTATCGCAGTCCCTCTCTTTATTACCCATAATGCTTCCAGGAAACTGGGTCTCATTAAATCATGAAATGTATTCGCTGGAAATACATTTCTCTCATCGGAAGTGAGAGATAATTCACTTCCGGTGAAGCTTTCGAGGCTTCACCGGAAGTGAATTATCTCTCATCAAATTAGCTTGAGGTCTTCTAGAAGCTAGAAAAAAACATGTTTGTTATTTATTTTGTTCACAATCGTGTAGTCAGAGCTCATGGCTTTAGAATCCAGAAGAATGAAATATTGTGTTGCCTTTAAAGCCGCGTCCAACTTCAAATCTACAGACGATTCTGAAAA